CATTGAAAGCCAGAAGGAAATAAGAAAGTTTGAGGCAAGGGAAACAGAAAGGATTGGTCTCTGGCCAAAATTGACCAGAAAAGAAAAGTTCAGAACAATAAATCATACAGAAAAGCACCAGGAGATTCCAAATGATCGATCTGCATTCAGGTCATGATTTAAACAGCATTTTAACCTTTAGCCACCTTATCAACAAGAGAAGAAGGAAGAAAGTGGGACAGCTGAATTTATCAGATTGCTCCATAATTTTCCAATCCAGGTATGGATGTGCAACAGAGATAGATTGAATTGGTGTTTCTCAATCTTGGCAACTTGAAAATGGGTGGACTTCAATTCCAAGAATGCTGGCTGGGGGATTCTAGGAACTGAAGTCCACCCATCTTCAAGCTGGGTTAGATGGAGAAAATGTTAGAACGCTACATCACCCAGAGACACGATGGGCATCCTCTTCTGGGGTTAAACATTTCAGACTCACAAAAAGAGCATGGAGCAGCTTAATTTATTTTTTCTGGTATATGGGGAGCTATCTCCTAGCAATAGAATAACAGAATTGGAAGGGACCTTGGAGGTCTTCTAGTCCAACCCCCTGCTTAGGCAGGAAATCCTACACCACTTCAGACAAATAGTTATCCAACATCTTCTTAAAAACTTCCAGTGTTGGAGCATTCACAACTTCTGGAGGAAAGTTGTTCCACTTATTAATTGTTCTGTCAGGAAATTTCTCCTTAGTTCTAGGTTGCTCCTCTCCTTGATTAGTTTCCACCCATTGCTTCTCGTCTTATCCTCAGGTGCTTTGGAGAATAGTTTGACTCCCTCTTCTTTGCGGCAGCCCCTGAGATATTGGAAGACTGCTATCATGTCTCCCCTAGTTCTTCTTTTCATTAAACTAGACATACCCAGTTCCTGCAACCGTTCTTCATATGTTTTAGTCTCCAGTCCCCTAATCATCTTTGTTGCTCTTCTCTGCACTCTTTCTAGAGTCTCAACATCTTTTTTACATCATGGCGACCAAAACTGGATGCAGTATTCCAAGTGTGGTCTTACCAAGGCATTATAAAGTGGTATTAACACTTCACGTAATCTTGATTCTATCCCTCTGTTTATGCAGCCCAGAACTGTGTTGGCTTTTTTGGCAGCTGCTGCGCACTGCTGGCTTATATTCAAATGGTTGTCCACTAGGACTCCAAGATCCCTCTCACAGTTACTACTATTGAGCAAGGTACCACATATACTGTACCTGTGCATTTTGTTTTTCTTGCCTAAATGTAGAACCTTATTTTTTTCATTTTGTTAGAGAGCGCCCAAATGTTCAAGTCTGTCAAGATCCTTCTGTATCTTAAGCCTATCTTCTGGAGTGTTGGCTACTCCTTGAGGCTGCATTGGCCTGATACTTACTGATTTACCACATGATGTCCCCGCAATGCATTTTGAGATTGTCCAGAAAGACATCAGCCATCTTTCTTCTCTGAAAGTCATGAGCTAGTTTATGTGAAACAGAAAAGCACTACTGGCTGGGGAATTTTGGGAGTTGAAATCCACATATCTCAAAATTGCCAATGTTGGCAAACACTGCTATAGATACTTAGAACTGAAACCGTGGCCTTTTACATAGAGAAACAAGTGCTTTGCCTCTATGAAGTCCTTTCCTTAGACCTAAGTTTCTAGCCCTCATGGATAAGAATAAAGAGATTCCAAGTTAGCTGAGACGTCTAAATTGACAGCTTTGATTAAAGAAAACAACACAATTACTTTTCTTTCTTCTTGGAAACCACTTCTGGACTTTGTGCTTGAGGTGGGGGAAAAAATGAAACTTTGATTTGGGGTTTTACCGATTAGATAGGTTTGTTGTTATAGAAATGGTTAGTTTATGCTATTATATCAAAGTAAACAAGAAACACTTTTTTCCCTTTCTTTTTCCCCTTTTCCCTACACTTCTCCCTTCCCTTCTCCCTCCCCTCTTTTCCTCCTCTTTTCGTTTGTATTTTTGTATTTGATATTATAAACTAATAAAAAAATAAAATAAAGAGACTCCACGAAAAATGTCTCAGCAGGGGGCAGCACCTGGTTGGATTTGGAAATAAAAAGAGTCAGGCATGATTAGTACTAAATCAGAGATTACCCAGCGGCTGAAGCTAGTGGAGAAAGAAACCACCTCATAAAAAAAACAATGGCAAACCATTTTTACACTAGGAAACCAAATATGGTATTCTTCAAGAAATCCTTGAAGATTTTTTCCTTTACAGGTAATCCTCATTTTATAACCACAATTAGGACTATAAAATTTGTCACTAAGTAAAGTAATCATTAGGAGAGTCACACCAAACTTTATATATTTTTTTTGCCAAGGTTGTTAAGTGAATCTGACTACCTCATTGATTTGCTTGTCAAAACCTGGCTAGGAAGGTCACGTATGTCATTCATGTGGCTCCGTGATGCTGCAACCTTTGTAAATACATGCCCGTTGCCAAGTATCCAAATCGTGATCACATGGCCATGGGGCTGCTGTGATGGTCATAAATGCAAGGACAGGTAATAAGTCACATTTTTTCAAGGCCGCCATAACTGTGAATGATCATTAAACGAATGGTTGTAAGTTGAGGACTGCCTGTCTTTTCCCCTTTATAACACAAGAGAGACCTTTGGGTCCTCATGTTTAGTGTTGCCGTTCTCTAGTGTTTCTCAACTTGGACCACTTTAAGATGTGTGGACTTCAACAAGAGCCTTGGTAGTACAGTGGTCTAAGGCACCCTGTTATTAAGCTGGTTATTAAGACCAGCTGCCTGCAATTACTGCAGGTTCGAATCTCGCCAAGGCTCAAGGTTGACTCAGCCTTCCATCCTTTCTAAGGTAGGTAAATTGAGGACCCAGTTGTGGGGGCAATAAGCTGACTTTGTATAAATATACAAAAGGATGAAGGCTATTGCTGAGCACATTGTAAGCCGCCCTGAGTCTCTGGAGAAGGACGGCATATAAATCAAATTTAAAAAAAAAAAACTCCCAGAATTCCCTTGGCAGTAGGACTTCAACATATATCCTAAAGCAACCAAGGTTGAGAAAACACTGTTCTAGGGAGCTGACTCCCACATCTACTCCCTAATCTTTTTTTTTTTTTCACATGGAAATGCAAGGATTGAAATGCGTGCATTCTGCATCTCAAGACTAGAGCTTTATCCCTCCTCTCCCTTTGAGAACTGCTTTTGGTCTAGTGGTTAAAGCACCAAATTAGAAAGTGGGAGACTTTGAGTTCTAATCCTGTTTTAGCTATGAAAACCAGCTGGATGACCTTGGGTGAGTCCCTCTCTCTCAACCCAATCCACTTCACAGGGTTGCTGTCGCGCAGCAAATAGGAAGAGGAAGATGTGTTTGGATATGTTCGCCAGCTTGAGTTATTTATAAAAAAAACAATAATAAAGGCGGGATATAAATATATTAAAATTTAAAAAAATAATATTCCTCCTTCCACAGCATCTCATGAAGTTAAAGTTCAGGCCAGGGTCTATGGGACGGTGATCCCTCACGCTGCTAAAATCCACGCATAGACCCTTAAGGACCCTTGCAGCCAGACAACTTTGATAACACCAAAATAATCAATTTTTATGAAACGGCCTAAACTTTGCCGGCTGTAGTTCACTTCACCAGATGCTTAGAGAGGCTAGATGGATGGAGGATTTAAACTGGTCAAAATTGGCTACGTCCTTCATCTGGGTAGCCAGTTTATGCATTTTGATGAAGTGAACTGCAGCCCATGGAAGAGTAGGTCTTTTAATAAAATTGGAAAACATGCCAGCAAAGTTTTAATCTTTTGCCACCATAGACTAAGATAATTCTCCTCTTCCTAAATTCCAATGCTGTAGTTTCATCTCTGGCCAGTTTGAGAATGTGAGAATCTACAGCAAGACAAGAATGATGATGTCCTTAAAACAGTGCCTTTAAATGAGAGGAAGATGTATGAATGGCCGGCAACTAGACTTAATACTGAATTATAGTGCAATGTATTTAATTTGATTATTGAATTAGGCACAGCATATTGGGTGAATACAGCCAAATACCTTGGTATTCGGGACATGAAAGGAAAGTGGGTGGCAAAAAGAGAAGAAAAAAAGTCAGATAAACCTTTTGCTAATAAGAATCTTCTGGATATGTTCTTCAGGCTCTTCAGAAACGTACAAAATCTAGTGCAGACTTACAGAGTAGAAGTGGTGCACACGTGAGTATAAATTTGTGCATCTCTATAGTATAATTTGAACTCGAATCATGCTAGCTGGGGAATTTTGAGAGTTAAAGTCCACACATCTTCAAGTTCCCTACTTGAAAAACACTGGTATAGCTTATTTTACTGTATATACATTTTGGGTTCGCGATATTCCAGACAATCATGAGTTGGTAGCAGAGAAACAGGGAAAACTAGAGATCATCTAGACTTTGCAATCCAGAACCGGCAGCATTGAGATGAAGACAATTATTAATTTTAAAAGTCCCTCAAGAGCTAATCCCTACTAATTCTTAATAAGAAAGAGATATTATGTCTTCTTCAAACCCAACCATGCCAGGATTTAAGACAAATTTCAACTCTTCAGTATTAAAAATATAGTTCTGGTTCCTGTCCCTCTACGGTTAGAATAGAATAGAATAGAATAGAATTTTTTATTGGCCAAGTGTGATTGGACACACAAGGAATTTGTCTTGTTAAAGACAAATTGTTAAAGCTTTATTTAAAGTCAGTTCAATTTTCACTTATTAGTGCAGTTTTTAAGGGCACCCATGCTTCTTCTGCAGCAAGTCGGAATTACCTAGCTCTTCTGATTTTCACCTGATATGGGAATTCTGCCCTCTGCGCATGCTTGTGTGTCCTCTTTTTTCCTGATCCCCCTTCAAGATCCAATAATTTGAAGACTTGGGGACAAAGAGGGAGTCTTGGGAAATTCCCCAGTATCCTTGGTGTTCTCGATACTCAGAGAAAAAGAGAGAAGCAGGGAAATATCAGTCTCCAAGATTCTTACCTGTGTTAGTGTCTCCTGATGCCAGGTACAGCAAACTTGAAAGCACAAGATAGGTTTTCATGATGTGACACTAAAACAAAACAAAAAACAGAGAAGGAGAAGGAGAAGGAGGAGGAGGAGAAGGAGAAGGAGAAGGAGGAGAAGAAGAAGAAGAGGAAGAGGAAGAAGAAGAAGAAGAAGAAGAAGGAGAAGGAGAAGGAGAAGGAGAAGGAGAAGGAGAAGGAGGAGAAGAAAAAGAAAGTGATAATAAAATGTATGAGGAGGTTTTCCCTACTATCTCCACAACTTTACTGGGAGTGCAGTTTCTGCAAAAGACAGAGTAAGTTAAGAGTTGTCTAAGTCGTATCTACTTTGCAATAATCCAGTGGGCTTCCTCGTTGCCTGCTCCTTAAGAGAGGATGATTTCCCCCACCCCAAAGGCTTAACTTCACCCTCTATATAAAGTGGTGTGTGTGTGTAAGTCTGCGCGGTCTGAATCATAACTCCAGAGAAGGCGGCATTGGGCAGCAGCCAGCAATGTGTCGAGGGGAGGGTATTGTGAGTATGTCTCTCCGAGCCCTGCCTGGATGCGGTTATAGCCAAATCATTGTTGTCCTTTTTTACAACTGCAGGGCAGTGGATTTGGGACTTTAGTTTTTCAGAGTGAAAACATGCATTCGAACAAGAGAAACACAAGAAGTGGTTGGCCAGACGTTTTCTTCTCCTTCATTTTCTTCTTCTTTTCTTCTTTCTATTCCTATCCTCCTCTTTTTTCTCGTTGCCGTTGTTTGTTACTATTACTTTCCCCCACTGTCATTTCTGGAAATCCTGATTCAACTTGTTGTCATTGCATGGCACAATTTTCCTCTGTGTAGTTCCAGAGACACACCTCCCATCCTTGGAATCGTAAAACTACTGAGACTCTTACACACAAATCTCATTAAAGGGGGGCTTTCAAGATTTTAAAATGCTATTTATTGATGTTTTCTTAGGCTGGCCTTTGACCGTAATAAAGATTAGGATTCAACTGATGTTTTCTCACTGTCGCAATCCGAATTCTCCCTAAATTAGCCTGCTCACTTGACTGGCTAAGATAGGCAAGGGAGGAGGCCTTCAGATGGAGTATAGGTAGTCCTCAAATTATGATAGACTAACCTTGGGTTTAGTTACAACCCGGATTTGGAGTTCTGATGGTCAGCCCAGTAGTCAGGTGACTGAATTTCAGGCAACATGGCTGCATTTATGGCTGTTTGCAGCATCCCATGGTCACATGACTGCATCTTAGGACTGTTTCCCCAAAAACTGGCCCTTACTTCTGGTTTTCAGCAAATCTGGGCCCTTAGTGAAATATTGGTTCACTTAATGACTGCAGTGTTCACTGAACAACAACCACAAAAAAAAATCATAAAATCCAGTCAGTCATGTAACCAACCTGTTTTATCAAGACATATCAAGACTTACAACTGTGATGGGCAAGGCCTGTTATGGCCATAAGTCAAGGATAGTGGTAGGTTGCTACCAGTTCGCCCCGGTTCGTGCAAACCGGTAGCACGGCGGTGGGATGCTCCACCTGCCCGCCCGGACGTCATCAAATACGCTCTGTGCATGCGCAGAACCTTCTGCACATTTGCAGAAGTGGTGCGCATGCGCGCGAGCAAACCAGTAGCAAAGGTAAGTGAAACCCAAGGAGTCAAGGAATACGTGTATTAAAGGATCTCTGGTAGCACTGCATTTAATACAGGTAGTGACTTATGATCACAATTGAGCTCAAAATTTCCATTGCTACTGTAAGTGAGACATCAGTAAGTTTTGCCCCATTTTATTATTATTTTATTTTATTTTATTTTTACTTCAAATTTATATACCGCCCTTCTCCCTAGGGACTCAGGGCGGTATACAGCCAAATAAAAACACATAATAAATACATTAAGAACAGATTAAAAGGAAATATCTCAATTTGCCCCAAAATTTAAAAAGACAAACAAATTTAAAATCATTTTAAAATTTGTTAGGCCAGCCTTTTGTTGGAAAAGGTAAGTTTTAAGGGCATGGCGGAAGGCACGGAGGTCTTGGATTCTCCTTATCTCTGGGGGCAGCTGATTCCAGAGGGTGGGAGCCCCCACAGAGAAGGCCCTCCCCCTGGGGGTCACCAGCCTGCATTGCTTGGCTGATGGCACCCCGAGGAGGCCCTCTCTGTGGGAGCGCACGGGTCGATGGGAGGTCGTCGGTGGCAGAAGGCGGTCTCGAAGATAACTAGGTCCTACGCCATGGAGCGCTTTAAAGGTGGTAACCAACACCTTGAAGCGCACCCGGAAGACCTTACTTGCCACACTTGTTAAGTGAATCACTACAGATGTTAATTTAGTAACAGACTTGTTAAGTGAATCTGGCTTCCCCATTGACATTGGTTGTCAGGAGGTCGCAAAATGTGATGATATGACCCTGGAACAGTGCAACTGTCACAGATACGAGTCAGTTGCCAAGCTGACTCTGAATTTTAATCATGTGACCATGGGGATGCTGCAACGGTCATAAGTGTGAAAAATGGTCATAAGTCCCTTTTTCAATGCCATTGTGACTTTGAACAGTCACTAAACAAACTGTTGTAAGTCGAGGACTATCTATAATGAATGTCCCCCCCCCCCTAAACATTTTTCTTAGGAAGCATTCACATGAATAAAAAACATCTGTTCTTACCACACAGAAAACCATTAGCCTATTCACCAGCTTCCCTCTTTTCCCCCTATGATCTATTGCATGCTTAGAAGCAAACAATAAAGAAAGTAGGCCATAAATGCATAAATCTTGCTAAGTTTACCAAGTTTAAATGTGAATAATTGTAGACAGGCAGGAATGAATTGCACAAAATGATGGTCTTGCATACAACAAGGAGGATGCAAACATTTCCAGCCTAAATTCCTTCTTAGGTTGCTGTTCCAGTTTTTAACAGAATAACAGAATAGAGTTGGAAAGGACTTCGGAGGTCTTCTAGTCCAACCTCATATATCATTTCAGACAAATGGCTGTCCAATCTCTTCTTAAAACCTCATTCCAGTTATTAATTGTTCTCACTGTCAGGAAATTTTTTCTTAGTTCTTTATTGGTTGATTTGTTTCTATCCATTGCATCTTGTCCTACTTTCAGGTGCTTTGAAGAATAGGTTGGCCCCCTCCTCTTTTTGGCAGCCCCTTTGATATTGGAACACTGCTATCATGTCATCCCTAGTCCTTTTTTTAAAAACTAGAAATACCCAGTTCCTGCAACCGTTCTTCGTGTTTTAGCCTCCAGTTCAGTGGTGGGTTTCAACATTTTTTACTACCAGTTTTGTGGGTGTGGTTTGGTGGGCATGGCATGGCATGGTAGGCGTGGCTTGGTGGGCATGGCAGGGGAAGGATACTGTAAACTCTCCATTCCCTCCCCAATCCAGTGGAAGGTTACTGCAAAATCCCCATTTCCTCCCAATCAGCTGGGACTTGGGAGGCAGAGAATACATGGGGGCGGGGCCAGTCAGAATTTTTATTACCGGTTCTCCGAACTACTCAAAATTTCCGCTACCCGTTCTCCAGAACTGGTCAGAACCTGCTGAAACCCACCTCTCCTCCAGTCTCCTAGCAGGAGGTTTGGACTAGAAGACATCCAAGATCCCTTCCAGCCCTGTCTTGTCTACTTCAAAGCAATAGAAACATATAAAGAACAGTTGCTGGAACTGAGTATGTCTAGTTTGATGAAAAGAAGAACTAGGAGCAGTGGTGGGATTCAGCCGGTTCTGTCCAGATCGCACGAACCAGTAGGGGCAACTGCGGGAGGCTCTGCCCACCCGCCCGGACGTAATGTGAAACTACTGCGCGTGCGCAGATGGCCGTGCAGAGGTGGTGCATGTGCTCACATTTGCAAACCGGTAGGGAAGGTAAGAGAATCCCACCTCTGACTAGGGGAGACATGATAGCAGTCTTCCAATATCTCAGGGGCTGCCAAAAAGAAAGGGATTCAAACTATTCTCCAAAGCAGCTGAAGGCAGGACAAGAAGCAATGGGTGGAAACTAATCAAGGAGAGAAGCAACCAGGGTGGATAAAAATCAATGGTTTTTTTAAAAAAATGGGTTTTAAAAAATTTAAATAGCATTTTTAAAAAATTTTATAAGCGTTAATAAAATGCTTTTGGAGTAAAAATTTATCTAAATATAGTTTTCTATTTAAGATACATTAATAATTTAGTTTATTCAGCATGAAATGGAGCTTAGTTATGTAGCATGAGGCTTTATATTCTGCAATATTAGGACTGTAGGAAGAAATATCCTTCTGGGTTCAGCTCCAAGTGGGGAAAAAGACACTGGAAACATGGAGACTGCTTGGAAAGATGGTTTAATGGTGGACAGGATCACATGGCTTGAGTTCCTGAACAGAAAAGGGGGCAAGACGCAGTGAGTCCCCGGGTTTTATGCCCTCTCTGGCTTTGAACTTCCTGGAGCCCAGAAGGAGTATCCTGATTGGTTGTCAGACTCCCAGGGGGTGGGGGTCTTAGCTAGGCTTGCTGGCTGAAGTAATCTTCCCAGATGCCATGTGGTGAGTTTCTGTTGCTAGATGGGTCCTATTGTGTTAGTTTCTGTTGCTAGATGGGTCCTATTGTGTTGCAGGTGATGGTCCATTGACAAAGATTGAGTGTGAGTTTCTGCCTCTGGCCCATTGACAAAGGGAGGGGGCAGGAAGATGGGAGCTGCTTCGTCTTTAAAACATGCTTCTCCATTTCTCATCCAGGGAAACATAATATTCTGCCTTTTTTAATATTTCCTAAAATATTTCATTCTTCTAGGAAAGGGGTGGATGCTAACTTCCTACAGACTGTTGGTGAGTCAACAGTGGGTCAGAGATGACAGTTGCTCTTTAAAAATTATGATTTAAATCGAGTTGATTTAAATCAAATCTTTTTACTAGTGATTTAAATCGACTTGATTTAAATCAAATCCACTGTGGAAGCAACCCAGAACTAAGAAGAAATTTCCTGACAATTAATCAGTGGAACAACTTGCCTCCAGAAGTTGTAAATGCTCCAACACTGGAAATTTTTAAGAAGAGATTTGATAACCATTTGTCTGAAATGGTATAGGGTTTCCTGCTTAAACAGGAGGTTGGACTAGAAGACCTCTAAGGTCCCTTCCAACCCTGTTATTCTAACATGGAATGTCACAGAAACATTAACCAAAGGTGCTCCTTGTTACTGACAACAGTTATTCAAAGAGACCCTATTCTTGCTGTCATCACTATGATTCTATGTTCCATATCAGGGGTCTCCAAACTGCAACATTAAGACTTCTGGACTTCAATTCCCAGAATTCCTCAGCCAGCATGAGAAATGGCTGACTGAGGAATTCTGGGAATTGAAGTCCACAAGTTTTAAAGTTGCCAAGTTTGGAGAGCTCTGTTCTATGTTCAT